GGCCCCTCCCCCCCCCCCCCAAAAAGGATTTTTGGTAAAAGGCCGGGGCCCCAAAAATCCCACGGCAATCCCCTCAAAAATGGATTACCCCCCCCCCCCCCCCCCCCCAAACCCATTTTTAAACATTGGGGCCCCCCCCCCCCCCCCCCAATGGTTTCCTCTTCCTGCATGTTTATTCAACACACCCGGCAGCGACGGCGCAGCGACATACAGGGAGTCACTCAACCTCGACGACAATGATGGCAGCGGCGGCGGCGGCGGCGGCGGCGGCGGCGGCGGTGGCGATGGCGGCTTCGCCCTCAAGGGGCTGTGGGCGGTAGCCAGGGCCACCCGAACGCGCGCGGTGGCGTGGATGGACCGGCGGGTGTCTTTGACGGTAGGCAGCTGTGGGGGCGACGGTTTTTTGGACGTTGGACAGGACGGAGGAGGAGCGTTCACGCTGCTGGCAATGGCCGGTGAGTTGTTTCACTTTCCGGTGGTTGTTCCTGCAATTCGTCGCTGTTTTTCACGAGGGAAGCGACATCGGGGCGGGGGGGGGGCGGGAGAACTATGGATTGGCGTGGCGATAGAGCGTGTCGGGGACAGCCTGTTTTCTTTTTCAAAGCGTGTTTCAAGTCTGTCGGGTTTCGATTTGCCGAGGCGTTGTTCTTGCTGCAAGACAAGCACAACCCGCTCACCCACCTCCCTGCCCCGGTGCGTCCCCCGGGGGCAAAACCCCTCCAGGATTGTTGAGAGAGAGCCACCGCGGGGGAGTCCGAGTCGGAAGGGCCATCTGACCGAACGTGGCGATTGTTGACCACTCTTTTGTCCTTGCTAAACCTTCGAAACTCTCGAGCGATCCGGGTTTTCTTGGTTCTACACTTCATGCTCCGTTGCATCAGACTGAGTGCACCCCGCACGCCCTCGTCTCGCCTCCTTGGATTTTGGAATTCGTTTCTTCAGGGGATTTCGTCATTACCCTGTGGACGTTTAGCAGCGAGACCAAACGTACAGGTGAGGGGATCGCGTGCAACGGTAAGGTAGAGGAGTCGTTCACGAGGATGTTAGTCGGCCATGTCTGTCTCCCCCAACGATGTGGGTGCCCATACCGCACGATACGCCTGCATTCGATAGTGCTCGGCCCAAGATGCTTCGCCTGTTACCAGTTGGGGATACTGAAACTGGTGTTGAGATGCTGAGTTTGCAAGACCGTGCCGAGGGGTATGGACCGGAGGGGGGGGGGGGGAGGGGTAGCACATGACGTCGTGCCTTTTCGGGTGCCACCCTCTCCGTCCTGGCCGGAACCCCCTCTGGGGAATACCGATGAAAAGGCACAGCAGCGCCCATCCCAGCCGCTGAGGAAAGAGAATAAATAAGCACGTCGAAATGAAACTTTTCGTGATGCGCGCGATGCACGTTGCCTCCGAGCACCGATCAACAAGGGACACACTATCTCGCTCATGGTTGATCGCCCGTCTGCACGTTCACGTGCGAGTGCCGATCGAAAAGGCACAGCGGTGCTCTCATCCCAACGACCTCTCTGTGGAAAGAGGGCGGCCATGTCGAAATGAACTCGCCCATGATGATCAACTGGTTTTGCCCGCTGGCCGCTGCAGGAGAAGAGCAGGGTGAAGAGGAGGAGGGAGGTCGATCGCTGGGCCTGGTCCGCGAGCGGCCTGCCTGGGCCGGGGACCTGCGGAGCATGGGGACGAGAGGCGGTGATGGCAACGTCCGGTGAGGAACGAGGAACGCTCATGGGACGGGTGCTTTGTTATTGTCTAATACAAAGTGCACGGCAGTGCTTCTGTCTTACGAGGCGGTTTTTGGAGCGACGGCAGTGGAAAGATGCTCTAGTGCTGTATTAAAAAAGGTGTACAATGGTTCTGTTTCATAAAGCGATTCGGCAGAGGAAGGGTGCTCGATTGTTGTGTACTTCTAGAAAGGAGCACACCGCTTCTGTTTCGTTTCATGAGGCATTGTTTTGGGAGCGGCAGCGGAAGGGTGCCTAGGTATCGCCTACAAAGGAGCAAAACACTTTCTGTTTATAATAGTATCAATGCCACTTCCTAAGGCGCGAAGGTGAACACCAGCCAGCACCGGGCAAGAGGGGCGGCCCTTTCTCAGGGAGTCGGCGGACGAATCTCAGGGCCGCCGGACCTGCTGATGAGAACAGCGGCCCCTATCAGCAGCGGCTGTGCCCCGCGTTGGCGAACTTTGCGTGTTTCCGCGACGGCTGAAGTACTATAGATGGCGTCTGAAAGCCACGATCGTTTCTGCATGCGGTAGTATATGCTATGGGGTATTGGTTTGTTGTGTTTCCCTTAAAATCAGCTTTCATTACGTTTCCTGCCGAGCAGGACCTCTGATACGTGGTCACACATGCCGTGCATATCCGATGACTACAACACATGATTTAGGAACACCTACAATCCCCCCTGAATCTTTCACCGCCTCTGCGCTCCCCACCGCGACGGCCGGTCGTCCCGCTCGTCTCCACTTTCTCCGCAACGCAGAGCTCTCGCGTGGTGCCACGAAAGCGTCTCGGCTTCGCCGTCAGGTGGCTACGACAACGTCACCGCCGCGTCTTCCTCCCCTCCCCGCCCTACCCGGGACTTCTTGGCCATCGGGATGTCCGCCGGCACCGTTCTGGTGCTCGCGGTGGACATCGGCACCGACGCCGACGCCATGGCAGCGGCAGCGGTGGAATCACCGGCTAGTCTTGCGCATGTCGATGCCGGCGGCGGGGGCAGCTCGGCGCCTGCCCGCGTCAGAAGCGGAGGGATAACGGCGGCGGTAACAGCGGTGCCGTTGCGACGGGTGTGTGTGTCGGACGGGTCCCCCGTAACTTTCTTGGCTTTCGTCGTGCCGAGGAGTGGTAGGTGGGGCGCGGGATCATCGGAGCAGGGAGACAGCGGCGATTCACCGCCTTCTTCGGTGAGCATATTTTCCTCTCTTGTGTAGGTTCTCATGGTGGTCTTTCTATTTAGTTGCTGGTGGTGTGTTGGCTTTCGGGTTTGTTGCTCCGTGCTGTGTGCGTTTGAAATGTCGTCGTGCGAGTGCAAGGGGTTGTTGGACTCGGTCCCGCCTTGGCCGGCACGAACTGTGCCGCACATGGTTTTTCTCTGTCAGGTAAGGAAGGTGGATGCCTCGGTACCGACGGGTGGCCTTTTGCTTAGATCAGGAGCTGAACGGTTGGCTACGGAGAGACCTCCGTTGCTTCGTTCCGGACTTTGTGCCACCGTTTCTTGTTTTTTCTTTGAACGTCCTGTGCGAAGATTTCCGCCAACGCTTTTGGCTGACAGTCGCTCCGTCTTCCCCGTCCATTCTCCCATTTCTGTTTTATCGCTCCGTCCGCATGTGGTTGTTGTGTTTGGTGGCGGTGGGAATCGCATTGTGTCTGCATCCTCACGAGCTGCATAATTTTTTGTTCTTCGGTGTAACCGTCATGCTGTTGTTTCTATTGCTGCGAACTCACGGGCTACATTTTTGTGCTTTTCCGGCGATATTGCTGCGTGTTTCCCGCAGCCCCGGGCAGCGCTCGCTGTATCGAAAGGCGCGATGGTATCGCTCTTCCCGCTCGTGACCGCCACGGCTAGCAACATCCTCGACCAACAGGACAATCAACTCCCGGCGACGGGACCAACAGCTACGGCACGGGCGACAGCAGGGACAACAACAGCAGAAGGTTTAGCGGCATCGGGGCCGGCACGAGAGGCTACCCCTTCCCCCACCCGACGTTTCGCTGCGACCCCGGACGGGCGTCAGCCGGCGGCCGTTGCGTGGCGGGCCCACGACCACAACGTGACGGGAATCTCGACGGTCCCGTTCGCGGCCCCGGTGTCAAACACCGCGTCGACCCCCTCCCTCGCCGGTACTAGCCCTTCCTCCTCCGCAACGGCCCCGTCCGGGCAGGCTGCTCCTACTACAGCGGTGGGAAACGGAAAACATCGTCAAGGCGGCGAGGGAGGCGGCGGCGGAAGTTCCGCTAGCGATGTCGCCACCTCCGTTGGCGATGCCGGTGCCGGGAGGGATGGTTCCAGCCGGGGGGGGGGCGCGGAACGCGCGCGGGTGGTTGGAAAGCGGCGCCGACGAGAAGAAGGGGACGCTGGCGGAGGCTGTAGGAGGAGCGGCGGTCGTGCGACGGCGGTGATGTACACGTGCTCGATGGACGGGTCCTGCAGGGAGTGGGAGGTGGAGGTGGCGGTGTCCCCGGAAGGGGACGGCGGCGGCGGGGCCCGGGAGGGGGCCGCCAAGGCAAGGTGAGGTGCTTGGTGCATGATGGGTTGGGTCCAAGGGGCCTCCATTCCCAGTGTCTATGGTATAGGCAACCTAACCCAAAGTACTCTTTATTGTATAAGATTTTGAAACTTACCCTATTGTATGAGGTTTGGGATGCGCATACTTGAACTTTATGTACCCAGGTACTTTGTGGACTTTGGAAGGCGGCACTAAAGCCGATATTGGATACCGTATGGCCATGCCAAACTATACACCCACGTATTGTATGGGCTGTGGAACGAGATACTACAGCCTACACGATATTGTATGGCCATATGTACTTGACTCATACACACCTGTATTTCATGGTTTTTAAATGCCATACTAAAGCCTGTACAACAAAGAGTGTTAAATGGGTTTTACCATGGGACACGAAAGCCTATAAAATGAAGAGTATATAGGTTTCACCATCGACACACTAAGTCCCATACAGTAGACTGCTGCAAGTGACCCGTGCAAAAAAATATGGCTACCTCTGGGCGTCAATTTTGATCTGGGGGGGGGTCGGGGTGTTCCATGGTTTCACTTGGAGGCCCCCGTGGTGGATCGGGCTTTCAGGGGATGAACTGGCCCCCTTCCCCGGGCCGGCGTATTTATAGCACTCTTGCTGGGGAAATAACGGAACACGTGGTGGGTAGGCGTTGTGGGTCGGCTGCTGGTAGGGCAGTCAAGCGTGATTCCGGCAAGGAGAAGGTCTTGGGACGATGAAGTCGAATCAACCACACCTAGAACCTGCGGTGGCCTGTTTTGATGTCATTCTGTAACAAGTGGAGCGAGCAATGCTGACGGCAACTTTGCTTCTCTGTGGAGATGTCGAAATTGAACGAAAGGCGCGGTCGAAGACCTACCTATTTAGCACGGGCAGCCAAACGAAAGAGGTGCAACATGTCAGAGGCATCCTACTCTGGTGCGGTTTATCCTTCATATGAAAAAGACGAAGCAGTCTAGGTCAGGTTGAGCTTCACGTGTGTTTCTTCACGTGCGTCGGCCCGCTCAGGAGTGCCTCGAACACCCCCCGTGGTACAGGGCAGGAGCGCTACAGTTGTGCTGCTCTCGTTGTGGCCATGGGGCTAGGCTTTGGGATTTTTTATCTGCCGTAACAGACAGACAACAACAGCAAGACCAACCGCCCCCGAGAACAGCATGGCCAACAAATTACGTGACAATCACTGCGACGACAACAACAGCAGCAGCATGATGCCGAGTCCGGTGGCGTGGTTCCAACGTGATCGCGTGCACAGGCTTAGAAAGACGGTATCAAGGTTAACGAAGAGGGGACAGCAGTCGCCCCTGAAGAACCCACCTCCTCTGCTCGGGTGCTCTGCGTCTCCCAACGGGGTCTTGGTGGCCTCCTTGGAGTTCTGTCGGCCGGAAAGGAGCACTCGGAAGGTATCTATGCCTCTTTCTTGTGCTTTGTCATGTTGTTTGTGTGCTTTGTGACACGCGACGAGCCACAACGATCGTTGTGTCGTTGTCGTCGTCGTCGTTGTTGTCGGTTGTTGTGGTCGTCATTGTCGTTGTCGGTTGTTGTTGTTCTCATTGTCGTTGTCGTCGTTGTTGCTGTCGCTGTCATTGCTGCTGCTGCTGTTGGTGTTCACAGAGTCTTGTTGTGCGTTTGGACACACGACTCGTCGGCTCTATCATTTTGGCCCGGATGAACAGGGCGGTTGGGTATATTGGAGAAGCAAGCTCAGAACTTCTTTGGTCTGCTCGGTTGCTATTTTGAAAAGCACGTCGCCCTCAGGCTCTGATGCAGAAAGGAAGGCTCTTTGGTCAGGGGGAAGGTGTGATGCTGCTGCTGCTCAGCACATTATTCGGTCGTATGCATACGCTAGTGGGTGTCTTGTTCTGTTCTGTTGGAACATAAAGCGTGGACCTGTTGTGACGATCTTTGGGGTTTGTCGCGCGTTTCTCGCCTTGCTTTGCCAAGAAAGACGACCATGAAAGCGACCCAGACCTTATCCACCTGCTTCTATCTTAAGTCGTTCCGCAGTGACATACGCATGTTCATATTTTACCACTACCCTCCCCACTCGCGGCTCCTAGTCCTCTAGCCCCGGGAACAAGACGTGTGACCTTTCCCGCACTACACTGAGCCCCCCCCTCCCCGCGCGCTCGAAACGCCTACAGGCGGTGCAGAACACGGCGAGGAAGGGGACGCACTGCAGGGTGGTCCTAACGCCGATGATACCACCGGCGGCGGAACGCGCGGCGACCGTGACGGGTGGTCGGGATTCTTCCTGGAATTTTCCGCTGTCATCGGGGGTGCTTTTGACGGATTGGGCGTGGTACATTCGAGCGGCTATCCTGGGAGATGCTGCGGTGGGTGATTTCATATAAGAAGGGGCCCAAGCAGGCGGGAAGTGATGCAGACAGTTTCTTACAATAATTTTTCTCATAATATTTTATCAGCGCTGATAGCATTTCCGACGGGCAGGAGAGCCAATCCGTGGTCACACGGAAGGCTTCCTCCCTTGGAGGACCCCTACCTCCTGGTAGGGAAAACCGTGGTATTGGCCACATTTGGCAACGCGTTGGAAGGAACGAATGGCCATCGTCGATCGGTCCTGTGGGAATAATGAGTCGTCAATCCCTGCCTACAGCTAAGGCATGCCAAACATGAGTGCCCTCTCCCCCCGGCGCGTGCGCACCCTAGCTTTTGTCGAATCCTTTTTCTTCTCTGGAGTTGCTACCCGTGCCTTTCGCCCGCGATACCACCGACTGCACTTAGAACCACACTTAAAAGTATTGTGTTTTCTAGAGAGCCAACGCACCATGAGTCAAGCTTTGTATTCTACCCCGAAGTTTCAAGTTGATCCTGCGGCGGGCCCGTGCGTTTTTGACCGCATTCCCCCGTCCGTACATGTCTATCACTTTATCTTCATTCAACACATTCCCTGAAGGACTCCCAAAGCCAAAATCTGTATACTCGACAGGTGCGGTAGGTATCGCTGCCTTTGATGTGGGCGAAACAAGTGCCCACACGGCGAACCAACCCATTCGCAATCTGCGTACGGTATCACCCCCCCCCTGAACCGTCCTTCAAAGCTCGATCACTCTCCGGCAAACACAGCGACTGTTCCGAAAATGGCGGCGTTGAAACCGCCTCGTCGAGAGCATTCAGGCAGCGCATCCGTTGATATTTGACATCCTCTTCGTCGCGGAGTAATGGGTCCTTGTGGGTCGGCCAAATCGTGCGTGCTATCTTGTGAAACCTGCGGAAAATCTTGTCATTGTCCTGACCACGTTTGCACCCAACCTGTACAATGTTGACCTTGTCACCGATCGGTGTTTCAAGCGCTCTTTATTGAACCAGCCAGATTTTCCCGCGTATCCCCGATGAACGTTATGTTGGACCGAGAGGATGAAACCGTCGTGCTCACGGTCCAATGGTAGTCCCCGACCGCAGCCAGTCGATTGTTGCCTCTTCCCTTGTGAAGCAAGAAATATTCTCACATACAACCGTACTTCTACAGGGCGTTCGATTGTTGGAGGTGCCTCGATCACGAGTAGGATCGGTGCTCCGTGTCGTAGTAAGAGATGCGTGATCATTTGCCAAATGACTATCGCAGCCAACGAAGGAACACGCCCCCCTTTCGGCTCCATTTTCTCAGGTGCACAGCACCCGAAAGGACATGACTCCGTTCTCTCTCATACCGACCGTCCGCAACGCCCTGGAGGATGCCATCCTTAAGGCAGCCGAGGCAGCGCGCCAGGGGGCTCCAACCGTCGCAACTCGCTCGCGTCCCCGCCTCAAGACGACAACGGAAGCAACAGCCGCCGCCGTTACTGACGAAGAAGTGGCCGTTAACGTATTGCCGAGAGACAGCAATGGTGGCGGCAGCAGCAACGACTGTGGCGGTACTACGGCAAGCAGCAGCAGCAGCGGCAGCAGTCAAACACCGGCCTTGCTGTGGGACTTGCTGCGTTTACACCACGTGTTTCTGGCGACGGCCGCAAGCGTGGCCGGTTGCCAGGCCGACGTCCACGTGCCGCCGGTGGCGGACAACGGGGACGGGCCGGGAGACACCGACGAGGACGAGGACGAGGACGGAGATGACGATGGCGGCGGCGGCGGCGACGACAACAGCAGCTGTGGTGGCAATGGCGACGGTGATGACGGCGCAGCAGCCGCTGACGCTGCCTCCGATAGTGAAATGTCCGGTGTTGGCAGCAGAGACGGCAAGGGAGGGGAGGACGAAGAGGAGGAGGACGAGGGGGAAACGGCGGGGTCGCTAGATGCGGCATCATCACGAAAGGCGGCGCCGACCCGGAAACCCGGCATGCCGCCCCCGCCAACCCCCCAGCAGCAGCCGCAGCCGAGGCCGCGGTCATCCTCGAAGCAGGTGCCGCCGCCGAAAAAGAACACCACACGATTTGCCGGGAACTGCCCGGCACCTTTGCGGCCCAGGCGGTATAGGAACGAGAGCGAGCTCGATAAGAAGTCGGCGGCGTCAATGGCGACGGTGAAGAGGATCAAGCGCCGGAAGAGCGCCGCCGATCGCGTGTCTGCGGCGGAAATGGCTGCCCGGGCCTCCACCGCCGCGTCCGCTGCTCGCTCCCGCCTCGCTCTCATGAGGGCGTGGGAACAGGTGCGTCTACTGCCCGGAGACGTGGCTGGTGGGGTGGGGACACCTGCAACGGTTCCAAAGGACGCGGTATTGGCGACGGCGGCGGCCGTTAAAGGCGGCGGCAAGGGCGGCGGCAGCGTTGACGATGTGGGCGGAACGGCCGCCTGCACAAGCGCCGTGCAGCAACGGCAGCCGGCGGCGGTGGCGAAGCAGAGAGCGGCGGCGGAGCGTTGCCTTCGGGCAGCCTGCGGTCTTGCTAGCGCGCGTTCCCGCTCCGCGCTTGGACGGACGGGCGGCACCGCGGGTGGTTTCCTCGCCGGGCCGTTGGCGACGCCGGTGATCGATCTACCTCTCGAGCGAGACGTTCGAGCCGCTCTCCTCGAGCCGGAGGGAAGCGGAAAGATGCACGTTAACGGGGTGAGGCATGGTCGTGACGATGTCTCGCGTGGCGGGGTGCAGGGGGTTGCTGGGCAGGCGGCCACCCCCGCCCTTTTCTCCTCCTCTGCCGGCCCCCATTCCTCCGCGGGAGAGGAGACGTGCCTCTTGTGCGGCGCTCCGATTCTGAGCGATGCGGCCGCCGCTGCCGCTGCTGCTGCGGCGGCGGCGCGCGCGGTGGCGGGCGCGGATGACCCCCGGGCACGCGGCACGAGTTCAATCGTTTCGACACCCGCGGGGGTTGGAGCCTCGCCTACGGGAGGCGGAGGTGGCGGCGGCGGTGGTGGTGGCGGCGGGAAGGTCGGCTCGAGGACGGCTGGAGAAGAAAACGTCTCGACGAGCGGGGGCAAGGGGGGGGGCGGAGAGGACAGGGTAGTAGCGGGCGCGCTTGAGCTGCCCGGTTGGGTCGTGTGCCGCCGAGGCCACCGCTTCCGGAGGAGCATGGATACCCTCGCACCGATACCCGGGGTGGGCTACAGGCGGTGCGAGGTTTGCAGATGCGTGAGGTCGTTATCGCGTTCCTGCCGTGATGAGGAAGACGGATTGGGGGTGGGTGGTTCGGGGGGCTCGTCGGCGGAATTGGCGTCGCCCCCGGACGGCAGCACGTGCGTGTTTTGCAACGTCATGCTCGCGTCGTCCGGTAGCGCCGTTAGTTGGCGGGCTTGAGATTGAGGGGCTGTTTTACGGAATAGGTAGAGGTAGAGGTTCGTCGCGCATTCGTGAGTTACGCCACACGGGGTGGCCGGTGTTACTCAATTTGTGATTCGACGTAGCACTTTAAGGTGCCCCTGGCTTCACACAGGAGGATCAGGGATCAGTCGTTTTGATGTCCTCCAGCTCAAAAGGCCGCTTGTTCGCTCGGTACGCGAGAACAGAAACATATGTTTACGCCATTTTACGTTTACATTTGCATACACCGATACGGGCGCGCGACAATCCACCCGCCGACAAACTCGTACCCGCCCACACTGGTCCTGCACCTCCGTGTCGGATCAGGTTCGTGTACGCGGCGCCCTTATGGCACCTGCCATTGTTGTCTTGATTCGAAAAAGGCGTCCTGGCGCGCGCTATACCCAAAATCCGGTACGGATCGATCGGCAGGTTCCCCGCGCGCACCACTCGCCCGAATATACGAACGCACGGGGGCTTGACTTCCGGTCTCTTTCTGTTTTCGAAAGTCATTGTTTGGACTCAGAATACCACGTTCGCATGCGTGGAAATGTGATAAATATGTTGCTGTAGTAGCAAGATGGAGTTGGGCTCGAATGTTGAAGACATAACAGGTGCTACGTATCGGCATGGTGGTGCTGGTTCCGTCAGGCACGTTGCACCAGGTTTGAAGGCCCTTGTTGAGGCTCGTTGCTGTTGGTACTAAAATATTGAAGTCGTTGATACTCCTGCGACCACGGCGCCGCAGGCCGTCGAGCGGTCTACACGAACGATGGAATATTAATATTCTACTGGGGCAACTCGAAAAACAGTGTTTGACCAGGAAATATCACCATTGTTTCGCAGTGGCGATTCGGGCCATCACCGGTAAGCGGTTTCGTGCTGGAAAAAAAAGGGAAATGGACAAAAGTGGGCGTACTCACCGCTTGTTTGGACAAAACTCGGTACTCGAAACCTATTGCTTCGCTGAGACCACTCGTGATCGGGTCGAACCATTCAGGATCTCATTCCGATGCCTGGACAGCCTGGTCAGGGCCCCTTGCACCGCATGAACATAGTCTTCACGAACTTTCGGGCACGTCTTGAGCCTACACACTTGCTGCAACGCACGAGGCGTCTGCTCCTTTGGAGAGTTCTGTCTCTTCGGGGATTTCTGTATCTCGGCAGAATTCTCTCCTTGTATTTTCGTTGCATTTTTCTGGCAGTGCTGTATGTCGGAGCGATGATTCGGTCCGAACGATATGGCCACACGGTGTTCGATGCTCGAACAGATATCGATATAGTGTATATCGATGTCATATCGTGATCGGTTCGCACATGCTTTTTCGATACGATAATCGATATGCCGTAAAAGGCGGAAATATGGCACCCGGTGCGAATATTTTTTTTATTCGGCGACTGCAATTTTTTAAACGTTTTTCCCTCGTGAGTGTACTGTTGGCAACTTCCTACCAATTACAAAAAAGGAACACAACTGGCATCCCGCGTGAACCGCGGCCGACCATGCATATGTACATACAGGAGTGGCGCTCCGTTGACACCGTCCCCACATGTAAAAGGTACGCACATGTGACTCATTCCGGCAGCTGAGAAGGAGTTCAATCTTGGATTTGGGGGTCGGTGCGATCTCACCGACCCCGGTGCGTAAATCGAATTGAATCATCCGGTTCTTGTATTTTTTGCGCACCCCGGTGCCATCTCCCCGACGGGTTCCATCTCTCCGACTATACGGTACCTTTGATATAGGCGCGAAAACGACCATTCAGAGGGCATTGCAGGGACACGTGATACGAATCTTTCCGTGTTTGATGCGACGGGGAAAAGGCTAACAATAAGACGCGCAACACCCCTAACTAATTATGCTGGCTTCGTTCCACAGGACACCCACCATCGTGCTCACATGTGCTCGTATGTCGAGTACGGGTGTTCGTGTGGTGTATGGCGTGCAGCAATCCACGTCTGCACATGAAGATATCGTATCGTATCGTATCGGAATGTCGCATCGGAATACGGGTTCGAAAACATAGCTTCGACAAAAACCGAACCTTTTTCGACCCGATATCCGAACTCGATATCTCGGACCACACATCGAAACTTTAACTTTCGAACCGACCCACGCATAGACTACAACACTGTTTTCTGGTCTCCACTGATCAAGAAAATACTGTTCCTCAAAACTATCATCTCCTTCAGCCCCCTGTACTCACTACAGTAGACCTCGAACGATTCGACGATTGCAGAGGAACGAACGGCTCGACCTGCTTTCAGATAGGTGGAGGAGAGACAAGGTCCGAGGGGGGTCAGCACCTGCTGCGCTCACCGGCTCACGGCCGTTTACGTTCTAATGAGCGAGCCTACCTCGTCTGCTGAGAGCTTGCTCTGTAGTTTAGGCGTGGATACGACGACGTCCGATAGTATAGCGAGAAAAGCCTCCCTCTGGCTAGATAGAGAGAAACGACCATATCTCATCTTCACACCCGTTTTCGACTGTTTCTGATCGATCTACGATCTACGAGGTCGGTTTTTGCTTTCGTAAAATCCATTCCCAGAAGTGGGGTGTCGGCTATAGTGTGGAACCTGCCCACCTTCGCGCTTCGTAGAAGTATATTAGGTGCGCGCATCGTCAGCGTTGGGATACCCTTGAATAAGACCTCAGGTACAACTTGCGTCGGAGCCCCTTTCTCCTGCTGTCTTCAACATTCTAATACTAGAGACTCGAAGCACCACAGCGAGCATGCCAGGAGTTGTGAGTCGAAGAAAGGAAAGACAAGACCAAGGAAATCATGTTTGCTTGGTGTCGTCTTTCCTTTTCCTCGATCCGTAACTCCTGGCAGGCTCGGCTGTGCAGTTTCGAGTCTCTGGGAATGGAACATATTTCAAGCTCATCCCAACCCTGACGAGGCATTTTGAATACTGAAAGCACACGATCGTGAAGGCATGGGTGCCCTTGTAGATTAGCCGCTGACCTCCGAAGAAAAAGAGCAAGAAAAGGGAAGAACAGGTTTGTTTCTCTGCATGTGCAACAGCGGCGAGCGCGGCGGCCGTCAAACAGGTTGGTGCGTTCGGGCCCCGCCAATGCAGGTGGAAAGGGAGCCCAGTTAATGCAAGTGCAGCACACCACCAACAAGAGCACATGATCCTGGAAAAGGGTGGGGGTCATTTGTTTGACTCGCGGTGATCAGGCGATTGCTGACCCCGAACCGATCCGACTCCACACGTCAGGCGGGTGGGTACCAGTGCATGCAACGCGCGCAGTTTCACTGCATGATTGACGAACATTCAGTTGATCTTAGCCACACTTCATCGAAACGATCGCTTGACGACCCTGCCCGATTCGCCTACGGTGCCCCCTCACTCCTCGCCGTGCTCATTGACATCACCCCGTGCTGCTGCGCCCAGTGCGGGGAAAGCCGTACGAGACTTGCACTTGTTCTTCATTTCTCGCGTTTGGGCAAACCGCGTGGAGACAATGGCACGGGAAGAGCTACGATCGAAACTGCGTCAGAGCAAGTGGTATACAGATGAGCCGGTTACCGAGAGAATCATCTTCGATCTCGACGTCAGCCGGTCGATGTACACGCATATCAGTCTCAGTTTTGTTCAACCCCCCTCGCCTGTTAGTGCGCAGCCTTGTCGTCCTTCTTGCTCTTGTCGTTTTTCATGGAAGTGAAGGACGCGTCGTGGGGACTTGCTTGGCCATGAATGATGACACAGTGGTAGAAGAAGGGCTCGACCTGCTTTCAGACGGGTGGACGAGAGACAAGGGGCGAGGGGGGTCAGCACCTGCTGCGCTCATCGGCTCAAGGCCGTTTACATTCTAATGAGCGAGCCTACCTCGGCTGCCGAGAGCTTGCTCTGGAATTCCGCATGCCGCATGGAATCGACCATGTCCGGGTAGTACAGAGAGACGAGCCTCCTTCTGGCTCTCTGGCTAGAGAGGAACGAACATATCTCATCTCTACACTCCGGGTACACTTCATTTCCGGCCTTTGGGCGAAACGCGTGGAGACAATGGCACGGGAAGAGCTACGATCGAAACTGCGTCAGAGCGAGTGGTATACAGATGAGCCGGTTGCCGAGAGAATCATCTTCGATCTCGACATCGGCCGGTCGATCTACACGCACATCAGTCTCAGTTTTGTTCAACCCCCCTCGCCTGTTAGTGTGCAGCCTAGTTGTTGTCGTTCTTCGTGGAAGTGAAGGACGCGTCGTGGGGACTTGCTTGGCCATGAATGATGACACAGTGGTAGAAGAAGGGCTCGACCTGCTTTCAGACGGGTGGACGAGAGACAAGGGGCGAGAGGGGTCAGCACCTGCTGCGCTCATCGGCTCAAGGCCGTTTACATTCTAATGAGCGAGCCTACCTCGGCTGCCGAGAGCTTGCTCTGGAATTCCGCATGCCGCATGGAATCGACCATGTCCGGGTAGTACAGAGAGACGAGCCTCCTTCTGGCTCTCTGGCTAGAGAGGAACGAACATATCTCATCTCTACACTCCGGGTACACTTCATTTCCGGCCTTTGGGCGAAACGCGTGGAGACAATGGCACGGGAAGAGCTATGATCGAAACTGCGTCAGAGCAAGTGGTATACAGATGAGCCGGTTGCCGAGAGAATCATCTTCGATCTCGACATCGGCCGGTCGATATACACGCACATCAGTCTCAGTTTTGTTCAACCCCCCTCGCCTGTTAGTGTGCAGCCTAGTTGTTGTCGTTATTCGTGAAAGTGAAGGACGCGTCGTGGGGACTTGCTTGGCCATGAATGATGACACGGTGGTAGAAGAAGGGCTCGACCTGCTTTCAGACGGGTGGACGAGAGACAAGGGGCGAGGGGGGTCAGCACCTGCTGCGCTCATCAGCTCAAGGCCGTTTACATTCTAATGAGCGAGCCTACCTCGGCTGCCGAGAGCTTGACTCTGGAATTCCGCATGGAATCGACCACGTCCGGGTAGTACAGAGAGACGAGCCTCCTTCTGGCCCTCTGGCTAGAGAGGAACGACCATATCTCATCTCTACACTCCGGGTACACTTCATTTCCGGCCTTTGGGCGAAACGCGTGGAGACAATGGCACGGGAAGAGCTACGATCGAAACTGCGTCAGAGCAAGTGGTATACAGATGAGGCGGTTGCCGAGAGAATCATCTTCGATCTCGACATCGGCCGGTCGGTATACACGCACATCAGTCTCAGTTTTGTTCAAC